GTTTAGACTTGTATTTGCCCAGTGAAAGTGAAATCGCTCAACCGTGTCCAACTCTTTGTGACCCCATGGACTATAGCCTACCAGACTCTTCCGTCTATGGGATTCTCCAGGCAAGAATACTGAAGTGGGTTGCCATTTCCTTCTCCAGGGGTCTTCCCAACCCAGGGTTTGAACCGAGGTCTCCCGCCTTGCAGGCAGATGCTTTACCCTCTGAGCCACCAGGGAAGCCCTGCGTATTTGCCCAGAGACAGACCTTTTAGGTGATTTCTAGAAGTTCCAGTACTATGTTAAGAACATAAATAACCAAAGAAAAACTTTAATATTGTAGAAAGTTCTACAAAAATTTTTATACAACATTGAGACATCAGAATGATCACCTTATTACTGAAAAGAGAATGCATTTGTGATGAAAACCTATAGCAAATGGCAGAGTCACAATACAGCTGACTGGGGAAAAGGAAGTACATGTTCTAACCACATCTCATCTGATATTGACTCATGATAGTCTGTTGACCACTGAAATAAAAGTATTTCCATAATTTAGCAAATCTATTTTTACGAAGCCTTTGTGTTTAAATGAAGGTCCTAGATGATGTGTTTCTAGTATCTGACACTACTAGGGAGAAAGGGGTGGGAGCCAAGTCACTCTGGCAACTCAGGAAGCAGCAGGTACTCCTCCAGCATTTGATTATAAACTCCAAGGCCCAGAGCTTGGTTTAAGATCAGAAACAAGTAACCAGCAGAGAAACACCAGGGCTTCCACCTCATTGTTCAACGGAGAACCTGTTTTAGTTGTAGATGCACTTTTCTTTTCCCCCCTTGAGGACATTTGTACTAACTTCAATAACAACACTAACAAAACTGCTTTTGCTGTGTCACTAGCATGCTTTAAATTACTTTAAAAAAATAACTCGTTTTGTTCTTTCTTGCAATATTTTATAAAGCAGTCCACTCTTGCTGATATGTTTATATGCATATATACATACACACACACACATATACATGTATTTGCTTATACAGTTTTTTCCATCTAGACTGTTTTTCAGAGAAGTGATTAAATTTTGATCCTAATATTTAAGCAAAACAGTGTCAACATTAGTTTTTCATTGGTAGCAATGACCTCTTATTTTCTTTAACAATAGTTAAGACTCCTTTAAAAAAAAATAAGTATTTTCTGAAATACTTTGTCAGAGTGCTGTGTGGACATGTACTAAGAATGGTTATCACCTAATCATGAATTTTCTCCAAGCGCCCAGTGGAATCATCATTTTATAATGCCCCAGGTAGACAGTGCTGGAGTCCTAACCAAACAGGCAATTAAAGCAAGCTAGCTTCTTTGAATTGATAGACCCTGCAATTGTATTTGTCGTCTGTACTGGATATATTCCATCTCTGTATCATAATGCAAAATTCCATTTCCTCAAAGCTAAAAGCCCAGGCATCAGTTTATCAGACTGATAAACAGAAAAGTCAACATAGGCATAATTCAGGAACCAGCGGATGAATGTTGGTTAACATGCAGTTGAATAACCGTATTTCTGATAAATTGAGGTCTTGCAAGGGCTAACAAGTTATTTGTAAAGAGCAAAGTACATTCAGTTGATGGAGAAAATGCAATACATGTAATTATCTTGACTATACAATTATGTTAACTCTATGGGACTCTTGAAAGATACGTATGGGCAGACTGAAGCTTCAAGATTATTAGCATGATGCAGTCATTAAATGACCAGAAATGATTCAACATTTTAACTTGATAGTTTTTGGGTAGTATCGACTTTTATTTCATAGATTGTCAGTTTTTTATTAACATCATAGTTTATTAGCTTGAGAGTTTAATTTCTTCCTTCAACATGCAAACTAATATTGTAATAAAAAGGGAATTTTTCTCCTCAATATTAATGTTACAGAGTTCTCATAGCACTATGCTAATATCTCTTTTATAGCACTTACTTGTATCTTTTAAATTGCCTTAATGATCCCTTTAGGTTGTTGGTGGAGTTTTCTTTTATAGAAGTAGAAATTTTGCTTTAGGTGCTCCATTAATAAAAATATGGTATCTCCAAGGTTTCTTTTTAAGAATTTCCATGATAAGCTTATAAACATTGGATTAAATAGAATGAGACTATTTTTTTTTCAGTTGCTAGGTCATGTCTGACTCTTTGTAACCCTACGGGTTGCAACATGCCAGGCTCTTCGGCCCTCCACTGTCCCCTGGAGTTTGCTCAAATCCATGTCCATTAAGTTGGTGATGACATCTAAGCATCTGATCCTCTGCTGCCCCTTCTCCTCCTGCCGTCAGTCTTTCCCAGCATCAGGGTCTTTTCCAGTGAGTCAGCTATTCCCATCGGGTGGCCAAAGTATTGCAGTTTCAGCTTCAGCATCAATCCTTCCGCTGAATATTTAGGGTTGATTTCCTTTAGGATTGACTGGCTTGATCTCCTTACAGTCAGAGGGACTCTCAAGAGTCTCCTCCAGGACAATTCAAAAGCATCAATTCTCTTAGCGCTCAGCCTTCTCTGTGGTCCAACTCTCATATCCGTACATGACTACTGGAAAAACCATAGCTTTGACTAAACGGACCTTTGTTGGCCAAGTGATGTCTGTGCTTTTTAACATGCTGTCTGAGTTTGTTGTAGTTTTTCTTCCAAGTAGCATCTTTTAATTTCATGGCTGCAGTCACCATCTGCAGTGATGCTGAGGCCAAGAAAATAAAATCTGTCACTGCTTCCATTTTTTTCCCTTCTATTCCTGATGCACGATCTTAAAGTTTTTTAATGCTGAATTTCAAGCTAGCTTTAAAGGGGAGACTCTTTGACCTTCATCAAGAGGCTCTTTATCTTCCTTTTCACTTTCTGCCCTTAGATTAGTATAATCTGTATATCTGAGGTTGTTGACATTTCTCCTGGCAATCTTGATTCCTGCTTGTGATTCATCCAACCCTGCATTTCACGTGATGTACTCTGCATAAAAGTTAAATAAGCAGGGTGACAATATACAGTCTTATTGTACTCCTTTCCTATTTTGAACCGGTCAGTCGTTCCATGTTGGGTTCCAACTGTTGCTTCTTGAAACAAAAGTTTCAAACCCACATACAGGCTTCTCAGGAGACAAGTAAGGTAGTCTGGTACTTCCAACTCTTAAAGAATTTTCCAGTTTGTTGTGATTCACAAAGTCAAAGGCTTTAATGACGCAGAAGTCAGTGTTCTTCTGGCACTCCCCTTCTCCATGATCCAATGAATGTTAGCAATTTGGATCTCTGGTTCCTCTGCCTCTTCAAAACCTAGCCTATACATCTGGAAGTTCTCAGTTCACATGTGCTGAAGTCTAGCTTCAAGGATTTTGAGCATAACCTTGCTAGCGTGTGAAATGAGCACAGTTGTATGGTAGTTTGAACATTCTTTGGCATTGCCCTTCTTTGGGATTGGAATTAAAAGTGATCTTTTCCAGTCCTGTGGCCACTGTTGAGTTTTCCATATTTGCTGACATATTGAGTGCAGCACTTTAACAGTATCATATTTTAGGATTTAAAGTGGCTCAACTGGAATTCTGTCACCTCCACTAGCTTTGTTCATAGTAATATTTCCTAAGGTCCATTTGACTTCACACTTCAGGATGTCTGGCTCTAGGTGAGTGACCACACCATCATGGTTATCCAGGTTGTTAAGACCTTTTATGCATAGTTCTTTCTGCCCTTAGAAAAACATAAAGCTCAAGGCAAATATTATATCACTTTGTTTCAGTCCAAGTCACTTATCAATAGATTAATTTGTAAAGAATTATTGTTAAGGGGCAACTGCTTTATCACAGTCAGAGACTTATTAAAATAAAACAGATGTAAAGAATTTTTTATGTGTTTCTCAATTTTAAGTATTCACCTTTGAACAAGTCAGAACTTATATCAGTATCTAATAGTATAATCATTATTCCCATGGAAATTGTAGAGGTCACAAACTTCTCCCAATTTTTCCTGTTGTTTTAGCCATTAAACTTTTGGTGGCAATTTGGAGAAATATTCAATGAAAATATCTTCAACAAAGAGTGAAGAAAACTCTGGAGGGAATGTGGAACACTAAAAGGTGGGTTCAAACCTCAGCCATTAAGCCTCTTACCTTCTTTATCAGTAAAGATATCTGTAACTAATTCAACATTGTATTAAAGAGGGAATTCCCTGCAGTCCAGTGGCTAGGATTGCTTCCACTGCTGGGGGCCTAGGTTCAATCCAGGGTCAGGGAACCAAGATCCTACAAGCTGCAGGGTAAGGCCAAAAAAACACCCTAAACAACCCAATATTGTATTAAACAAGATGATACATTACAAAGAAAAAGTTTATAGAATAGTGCCCAACTCAAAGTTCTTAATTCTATGACATTGGACATGATATTTTTTCCTAACTATTGATATTCATATAGCACCTTTAATCCAGATAATTCAGGATGCCAGGTCGCTAAATGATGAGCAGAAACCTTAATGTTTACAAACATACTAAATGAAACAAAAGAATATAAAACAAAACAAACAAAATTTCATCCTGAGAATATCCCATTCTAGCATTTGCCTTGCAAACGGATACATTTCTGAGTTCAAATTCATCCTACATCAGTGCAGTTCAACATATTTTAAGTGTCTAGTTGATGTCACACAGGCAGTTATAGAAGACAGAGTTTCTCACTTTCAGGAGGCACAGTCTAAAAGGGAAATATTAAAATGTAATGTGATGTTCAATGCATGGAAGAATATATAAAGTGCTATAGGAACACAGATGAAGAAGGAGTTACAGTTGCTTGGTCTGAGGGGAGGGTAAGAAGCCTTAAGGAGTTACCTAGGGAAAGTGACATTTAAACCAGACCTAAAAGGAGTGGAAGTCAGCCAGATAGAACAGGCGGAGGGAACAGCAAGTATACAAATTCATAGAGACAACTGGGAAGACAAAGAATGCAAACCACTGCAAAGAACGTGCGCAAAACAGGACTCTTCAAAGAAAATAGGCTAAGTTTTAGAGAAAATATTATTTGCTCCACAGAAACGATTTTCTGGACTCTTTAAGACTAACCAGCCATCTTTTGTGGGTAAAATAATTTCACATACAAGAATGATAAAGAAAATTAGCTTTATTTATGTAAATTAGAAAAATTGATAGTAGTGTTAGAATTTGTCAAATGTTTTCATTCTGAACAATTTACAAGTGTATTTATATACAAACATAATAAAATAGAGTACATCACATTATTTTTGCTTGACTCCAAGTGTCTCTCCATTCTGGACTCTCCATTCTGAACATGCCCTTCTCACTTTGGGTTTTAATTTTTAATGGGGAAGTGCTTTGTTTTGACAGTGTTTAATTCACACAGTATAACACTGAAGTGGAAGGAGAGTCAATGATCATCAACAATTAAAAAATACTTTTCAACCAAAATGACTTCATTATCAGATTTTTCTATATTAAAATATGTTTCATGTTAAAAAAACATACTTTTATTCATTGATGATCTAAATTTGTACTAAATTTGACATTTATAGAAACCCATAGTTAATTAAAATATAGATATGAATTATATTAAACTCATTGGTATGAATGTTTGCCACAAATGAAAATGAAGAAAATTGTTAGGAACAGAGGTAAAAGAAAATCCATGGCAGAAATAGAAATGCCCTGGTTACATTTAAAATGATTAAAATGTCAATTTTCCAAACTCAATACAAATAAAACCAGTAGATCATAAAATGTCATGATATTTATAGATACCGAATCTTAAGTTACACTGTAGGACTGTAATTAATTTGTACTATTACATATATATATTAGATACTTCTAAACCAAGTTTACTAAATAGCTTTCCAGTCACTTACATTGTTTGAGAACTCTAAGAAAGTTTAATACAATTATTGAATAAGGCAGAATTTTAAATTAGCAATTGGGATACAATGTAAATGCAGATAATTTATTTAGAGTCAAATCTATATCTGTCAATGTATTAAGTATATCATATGTATATGGACTGTTAGAAGAAATAAATTTTGTTTTTAAAGCAGTGGTTGGTTTTTTGAGTTTAATTCTTTAGCATTTTGTTGACATTCCTGGCAAGAATTCTGACTGAGCTCTGTGGTTTTATTACATGAAAAAAAAAAAAAAACACACACACACACACCACAAAAAGTAAGTTGGCTGTGACTTTCCAAAGTAAGCTATTTAAATAGCCAGACCTCAAGTGCACTTGTGTCTAAAATGTCACTTTTACCCCCAAAGTGAAGGAAATGATCAAGTATTGTGTTAAGGTGCTTACTAGTTTAAAAAAAAAAAAAAAAAAATCACAGGAAGTTGGTCTTTAACTGGATGCTTGAACTCTTCCCAGAGTTATTAGTATGTTTAGATGTTGGTGTCTTGACTTTGACAGTTTCTTGATTGCCCTTTATAGCAGCTTCAAGGCGGGCTTTCAAGGCTGGAGAAGAAGCCATTACACTTTTAAAGACGGATGAGTACTGAGGGCCAATCTGCATGAGATTTTGCAAAGCAAAGTCATGGAGATTTCTCATTATGGAAGTTGCTGATCCCAGGGCATTCTCATCCAAAAGGAAGGAAATGAGGATGGACAGAAGACAGGCCACGAGCTGAGAGCCTGGAAAGTAAACAAACTATGTAAGCCCTGGTTTCAGGGGTGTAAATGTTCCACACACACTTGATGGGAACCTATTTCCCCAACCTGAAGGGAAGCAGTTCTTCCGATCTCTTCTCCCAAATTGATACTAAGTAATATCAATACCTGGGGTTAACATCAACATCTGCCTTTCTGCAAGTGTGAAAATACAATATTAAGTGACTAATGGGATGTTTTATACTTTAAAGAACATTCAAGTTCTGACTTTGGACTAACTGTTGGTATGTATTAAGTGCGAGCACTCACGGTGCTGTTCCTCAGCAACGGCCACCAGCGCTTCCAGGACCTTTATGCCTTCTTGAAAGATCTGAAGCTCAGTAGTTTCTTCAGGTTTTCTCCTGTCTATTTCCTGCAACTTTTCCACGATAGAGGATACTAAAGAGTAAATGTATGGATAGGAAACAGCTGGATTTGGATACTGAAAAATGGAAAGGAGGAGCTGATAGGTCTTGATTTGTACCTAGTCAGATAAGAGACAAAAAAAAGTATAAACCATAAATACAAATTTACATTAAAATGTAAGATTTAAAGTTTTAAAAGTTTAAAAATGTAAAGGAAAAAATTTCCCCACCGACCCCCCGTGCCCAAACTTAAACTTATTTCTATTTTATCTTCAATTCTGTAAGTCCAAACACTAAATTCAAGCTTGCATGCTAACAGTGGCTGTGACAGCTTGGAGTGGGAATAAAGTGGTTAATTTTTCTTTTTTTGACAGGTTTCTATTTTCTCCCTTTATGTGTCTTTCGGTAATATATATATAAAAGAAAAGAACTCTGAAAAATATTTTGGAGATTTTGGAAAACGTTTTAGATGAAGAATCACATATATTTGATGCAATGAAGGTGTCAGGGAACTGTGTCTAGACTGTACTAATGATGTGTCACAACATATCAGAGGCATGACTTTGAAACTGCTACATAAAGCTACTGTTAGGACAGAGGAAATAAACAGGACAGAAGAATAAAAGATGACTACATCGGATATACAAATAATCATTGTGATGATATTTGAATAATTGTTTTTTTCTGAGAGAAAACCTGGTTCCTGAATTTTAGAGTTTATCTATTTGTGATCATGTGCTACAAACTTATTCTGTAGCACCTAAAAACATAGGAAATTAATCAAGCAAATAAAAGGATCAGAAAGGAATGGGATTAATTTGTATGTGCTGGTTTTGAAATGGGTCTCATTATTTTACAGTCATATACTGAAGGCATGTGTTAAAGTCTTCCTTTCCTTTCCCATCTGAAAGGAAACCCACTGAAGTTCTAGGAAGGTATCAATTTTAAGATGCCCCTATTTCAAATTTAGTTGGTATTTTCAATATTTTCTTTAACTTTCTCTAACTACATTCTATCCTCAGGGCCAAAAAACAAGACCATTATTATTTGACTTTAACCTAAGAATACAAATTAATCCAAACCTAAAAATAAAAGCTTTAGTCTGGTACTTTTTGTTGGAACCAACAAAATCACAATAGTTTTTAGAAGCCTAAACGTATTCCTATTATAAACATCTGTCTTCTAAAGACACTTACCATAGGATCTTTTATCTCAAGAGTGGCCTTAAATTTCTCAATACAGCGCTTCTGAAGGCATGGGATCGTAGTTACTTCTGGACTTGTAGACAAAATAAATACTGTGATAGCGGTAAGTAGACTGACTTCATCAAGTTCTTGGTGTGTTCCATCTACTAAGGAGAAGTAATCAAGGAAAAACAGATCCTGATACTGTCATATTTACTGTCTTATATATCTGTGAAACTTTCTCCAGTTTGGTAGTAACAATTTTTGGAGGCACCAAAGGGTTACAGACAATAAATAGTGACTTACTAAGAATCCTGGCAAATGATATAGCTTCAAAATGCACATTTTAAGTAATTCTAGAGTCAAGAATTACCAAAGTAATTATAATCTTCACAAGTAAAGAGATTAGTAAATACATATATATATATTTACTAGATACATGCATTTATTAGTTGTGTGACCTTGGATATTTAACCCTGTCTTCAGTTTTCTCATCTGGAAAATGAGAGTCATAGTACTTAAATTTGTAAGGTAAATGAGTTAATCCTCATATAGCATTCAGAATAGCATGTTGTACATAAATGCTCACAATAAATTAACTATTTTTTCATTAGAGAGAAATACAGAGGTGCTTGGAAATGGTCTTTTCTTTGCTAAGTTTAAACTATTCATATTTTGATAATACATGTGTCAAGTGAAAATAACTTAGCATTTTGTTACATATACTATTTCGTAAGAGTACAGAAAAATGTGAAAATCTGTGTGTCGCAATCATTTAAAGGAATTTTCTACTAGATTTAATTTACCTTCATTTTCCAAAGTCATACTCTCATTAAATAATTTTAATAAACCTGCTGTGGAAAATCAATGTTATTTGAAAAGGCAGGGAAAATGCAATTCATTAAATTGTGTAAAAATGGATTGCTACTTAGGAAGAAATTACATATACATATTCTTTGGTAACATTCACTCATCAAATATTGAAGAAACTTTTTATGTGCCAGCGCTCTTTCTGGCCCTAGGAATGCAGTTTACAGAGAAGAAGTACTATATGCCAGGAAGTAAATAAAGAATTTAATTTCAACTAGTCACAAGGTCTATGGCAACCAGGAGTTGCTGCATTGGGCAGTCAGAAGAAGGTTTGAGGAGATTAATACTTGAGTTGACACTTGCAACATGGTACTAATGAAGGCAAAATATTATAGATGAGGAGATAGAATATACTGTTACTTATAATGCCACAGTGTTTCCCATACAGCCAAGTTATTTAGTCATTTACAGTGACTTGAAACTACAAGAGCTAGTCTATGTAGTATAAAAATGTCTTTTTATTCTCCGTAAGTAATGCTCTCCTGGGTTCCTCTTCCCATTTCTTCTAAAATTTCCTTATTCTGCCACTCATGCCTCAATTCCCTTATGTGCTTAGTCTCTCGGTCATGTCTGACTCTTTGTGACCCCATGGAGGGTAGCCTGCCAGGCTCTTCCGTCCATGGGGATTCTCCAGGCAAGAATACCTGAGTGGGTTGCCACGCCCTTCTCCAGGGGATCTTCCCAACTCAAGGATTGAACCCAGGTCTTTCGCACTGCAGGCAGATTCTTTTATCATCTGAGCCACCAGGGAAGCCCAAGAATACTGGAGTGGGCAGCTTCTCCCTACTCCAGGGGATCTTCCCAACGTAGGAATAGAAGTGGGGTCTCATGCATTGCAGGCAGATTCTTACCAGCTGAGCTACCAGGAAAGCCCAATGTTCCTCTTAATTCTTTTACCTACAATAAGACGCAAGGTTCCCTTAGCTCTATGTGGTAAGGAATTGAGGCC